TGTGAAAAACACATAAAATAAAATTAAAAAGGACATTTTCTTTTGCATCATTAGAGTTTTTGTCTCTGCTTACATTTACATGCCTATAAATATGTGTACATATAAGCCTAGAGAATCCACCATTATCGAAATACTCTTAAATCTTTCATGGTCTCATCATAAACAAGACAAAACGCTTTTGTCTCCTTGTCTAAAATCTACGAGAAACCAAAAGAAGAAGAAGAAGAAGAAAAATCCAATACTCTTAAATATCTTGCATATATAAGAAGCAAAATTCAAGTAAGTTTAACCAACTGTGATTTATAGATTTCGTGATGTTATAGTATCACAAATATTTCAGTTTCGTACACTAGAGTCTAGATCTTAGGTTATAAGTACAACTATTTATTTAAAGGACGAGACGACTACATTGTTTCTTTTTTTCTTTGTCCGAAATTATGTCTGTATGTGTATACTTATTTCACGTATGGATTTTTAAAAAAATTTGTTCATTATTTTTTCTCTCCATTTCGATAACATTTTAATCAAAACAGTGCACAAATGGGAAAAGGAATTAAAAGGGTGGGAAGTAATAATAGGTTCATTCACGCAGATTAGGGAAAGTTAACTACTTGTTTGTAAACCATGCATATCCTGATTCTTATTTTTTGGTATTTTTAATATGTTATGGGTATTATGAGTATTCAAAACGTGAAATATTCAAAACTAAAAAAGAACCATAATGAAATGGATCAATTGTTTACTTTAATGATAATTACGAGTGTGGAAAGTTAAAGATACATCTCTATGTAGACTTACTTGGATATTTGATTTCACATTAGTTACATGCATATCCTTACCATTGTCATTGATGGTATCTTACAATTGCCCCATATTGCAGAAAATATAATAATAAAAGGATCAAATGGAGAGTCTCTCACACATTCCTCCCGGTTATCGATTCCATCCCACTGATGAAGAACTCGTTGACTATTATCTTAAGAAGAAAGTTGCATTTCCAGGAATGCAAGTTGATGTGATCAAAGATGTTGATCTCTACAAAATCGAACCATGGGACATCCAAGGTATGCATGCACACCATAAATAAATACTAGTCGTTAGATAGTAATACACATCATTGTCGATAATAATTTTCTTTTTGAATATATAGAGTTATGTGGAAGAGGGACAGGAGAAGAGAGGGAATGGTATTTCTTTAGCCACAAGGACAAGAAGTATCCAACAGGGACACGAACCAATAGAGCAACGGGCTCAGGATTTTGGAAAGCAACGGGTCGAGACAAGGCCATATACTCGAAGCAAGAGCTTGTCGGGATGAGGAAGACTCTTGTGTTTTACAAAGGCCGGGCCCCAAATGGTCAAAAGTCCGATTGGATAATGCATGAGTACCGTCTTGAGACCGATGAAAATGGACCACCTCATGAGGAAGGATGGGTGGTTTGTCGTGCATTCAAGAAGAAACTAACGACTATGAGTTACAACACTCCAAGGACAATGATGGGATCATCATCTGGACAAGAATCAAATTGGTTCACGCATCAAATGGATGTAGCTAATGGTAGTTACTACCATCTTCCTGATTTAGAGAGTCCAAGAATGTTCCAAGGCTCATCATCATCATTACATCATAATAATGATAATGACCCATATGGTGTTGTACTAAGCACGATCAACGCAACACCAACTACACTAATGCTAGGAGATGATGAAGAAGATCATGGTCATATTATTACTAATGATGATGATCGTTTGATTATGATGAACACAAATACTGATCATCATCATCATCATCAATCAGGATTACTACTCAATGATGATCATGATGATCACGTGATGGATTGGCAAACTCTTGACAAGTTTGTTGCTTCTCAGCTAATCATGAGCCAAGAAGAGGAAGAAGATAACAAAAACCCATCTGATAATTCTTCTAATGAAACATTTCATCATCTCTCTGAAGAGCAAGCAACAATGGGTTCTATAAATGCATCATCTTCTCCATGTTCCTTCTACTCTTGGCCTCAAAACACACACACGTAAGATCCATTCTCAAATGTGTGTGAATCCGACCGCCGCCTATATATATAATTAATTGACGCTCATGCTTATTGATTACATTATATGCATGTCTTAGCGATTACTAATTATAATTTTATACGAAATTGTTTATTTATTATGTACACTATGTGTCAACTGGTGTGTAACTTTCTAGTTTTGTGAAAGATATAAACAAAGAATATAATTATTTATAATTATGACTATGTACTTATGTTAACCAAAAACAAACAAATAAGCTTTCATAAGCTTGTAGGAGTCATATTTTCAAGAACTAATACAATGATACAAGCAGACGAAAATAGAAGCAATAAGAGAAAACAGAGTCTACAAGCTTGAGAACATTATCAAGCCCTTTATCAAAAAAAAAAAAGGTTTGAGAACATTATTGAACACAAAGGGATTACATATAAACTGATAAAACACAACGTATTAAAAAGGCACAAGAGATATGATTCTTAGGATGGGAAGATAAACAGACACAAATCTCTTTTTCAAGCCACTCACATTACTGTTAATTTTCTCTATAAAATTAGTAATATTCAAAACATTAAGCAAACAATAGAGGCTAATTGATTATTCCCAGATACCAAACACAACAAAACAGCCTCTCATGTACGCATGGTACCATCATTCTTCTTTATAGAGTGTATATAATAAGTAAGAAAATTAAAACCAAGTTAATAAAACTTCTAGTGGCTGGGTGGCCATGGTTTGTGAGAAATTACTTGTGCAATTGGTTACACGTATTACACAGTTGCCTCAGGCCCATTTAAATGGGCTATAACTCAATTTCCTTAGGCCCAAAATAAATTCAATGATTGGGTCTCATAAACCCATAAGTATTTAGGGTTTTTATTACACAAGCCATTTATATTTAACGTTTTCTTTTTTTTTTGTCAAACAACCATTTATATTTAACGTTGAAATTCATCTTTCTGCTGCTTCTCCTTCCTCGCCGTCATCGTGTCTTACATTCTACAGAAGAAGAAGAAAGAGGTTGAAAACAAGGCGTATGCAGCAATGGAGCCCACTAAGGCTGGTTTAGAAGAGCTCCAGTACTGGAGCAAATTCACAAGATCAGAATCACTCTGTCCTCCAAGAACGTCAAGAACCTTGAGAAAGGTCTGTTTTAGAATATTTTCATTTTTTTTATTTTGATCATCTAATAGGGTTTATTGCCAAATGCATAAAGGTTGTAGCTTTTTTTTTTTTTGGGCAAAAAAGGTTGTAGCTTTTTATTCGAATTAATTACAAATTAAATGTTTTTGTGTCTCAAAATGTGTTATTAGTGTGTGCTGATTTGGTACGTGGAGCTAAAGACAAGAGACTAAGAACAAAAGGACCAGTGAGAATGCCCACCGAGGTTCTTAAAATCACTACCCGTAAAGCTCCTTGTGGTGAAGGTATATAATATATACACTGCTGAAACTTGTTACCATTTTTATGATTAGACTAATGTTTTTGGTCATGTAACATGTGATTAAGCTCGTTGATATTGTTTTTTCTAACAGGAACTAACACGTGGGACAGATTTGAATTGAGGGTTCACAAGCGAGTTAGGGTGATTGGTTGGGATGTAGCTGTAAACATTTTACTGTAGAATTTTGTCTGTAGAAATTTTTGATATAACTGTAGAAAATGTAGATGTAAGAATTAAATACAAAAATAACAAAAATGGAAAGATATTCCTACAGCAATATTTTTTCTCTACAGCATATAAAATAGTGCTTTAGAAAACAAGAGTGCTACAACCATTTTTTTAAATTTTTGACTTTAACTTTAAAAACTAGATAAAGCATGATTGGTAATTTTATGGTTGTAGATAGAAATTAAAGCTAAAATCATTAGTTACATACCAACCAATCACCCCGTTGATCTTTTTAGCTCTCCTGATGTGGTCAAGCAAATCACTTCCATTACCATTGAACCTGGTGTTGAGGTTGAAGTCACCATCGCCGACTCTAAGATTTTTTTTTAACGGAAATCTCTGCGAGAAATAACATTCTCTTATTGGAATTAAACCAATGATTTTGTTGTAGTAATTTGTTTTTTTTTTGTTGAGTAGATTGTTTTACCAGAGTTATTTATATATTTGAAGATTGAGATCCATTAACACTACACGAAATTTTAGATACTTAGAGATTATTGATCTTAAGTTTATGACTATCTATTTAACATGCCATTATTAGTTAGTTGGAATATTTGATTTTAACAAGACCGAGTGAGTAATCAAACTACACTCCAGATTCTTGAAAGATTTGCCAAGCCATCCAGAAAAATATACAAAATAAAATAAAACTATTAATACCACTAAACCAATTTATAGCTTCTCTTCCATGTATATGCATTGAATTGTTTATAATGGTTTTGTTGAACGAACGAATGTTCAAGAATGTCAGTGTTCTGTTCCGGACAAAATTCGTCGACGGAGTTTCGACAGTCCAGAGGACAGTAACAAAACAGACCAAGTGATCGATCTCTGCTTATAACTCAGTCGGATCATTAGATATAAGCAAACTGTTTCATTAGTGTATCATTTGTCCATAATTTAAGTGGAAAGCTTTCCTTAAGCTTAAGCTTTTCGTCTTGAAGATTTTTCTTCTAATGTAAAGAGATTCGTTTATGTTCGTTTTGTAACAAATGTTACTTTTTAGTTGAAAATAATTTTTTTTTGGGCTAATTTTAAAACTATTTTTAACGAGGAACTGAAAAAGAATATCCTTACTATGTTATTAACGAAAAATCATAAATTAATTTAATACATGGTTTGACTTAATTTCTTACATGTGTTTTTCTCTATTAAAAAATATGTAATTCAAACTATATACAATGCATTGCTAATATTTATGTTCCAACCACCATAAATTAACTCTTGTAGCAACCAACAGAAAGGTACATTTGATCTAATCTGTTTCAGTTTATTTTTATAGATAATTATTGAACACATACATAGCATGAGTCACGAAGAGAGTGACATTATCACATTTGATCTAATCTGTTTCAGTTTATTTTTTAGATAATTTTCAACACATACATAGCATGAGTCACGAAGTGAGTGACATTATCACATTTGGTAGGAGAAGAAATTAAAAAAGAAGAGACGCATTGTATTTGTGGGAATCAAATGAATATAGACTTTAGAGGTCAAAACGTTGATGAATAAACTCATAAATTAAAGTGGTGGTAAGCGGTAGTTGACATTTAATTATAGCTTACAAAGCAAATATTAATTTTAACATGACTGCAAATTCCTAATAACTATAGAAAATAATATATCACATGGAAAAAAGATTTGTGAAATCTTTTGGCGGTGCACTAGAAAAGCAGGAACATGACTGTCTTCTGTTGTAAAATACTACATGAACCACCATTGCATTTAATTTGACATATTTTAAGAAGATTAGTAGTTTTATCCATTGAAGAGATTAGATAATTAGTTTAATTGTCAACGCTTAATTCATATGTAATTTGGTTAGTAAGCTAACGTCGATTGCATGCAGTCGCCTTCGATTTGACTTCCACTCCCTTTATGAACTATTTTATGCAAATCATATCATTGACAAGTAATCGTATGTCAAACCGCCCTTTCTAAATATATTATTGTATTATCCTTGAAACTAATACTTTTTCAAAAGACGCCTCTTCGAATGTGCATGAGATTCAATTAATATATTATTCATAATATAAAATCACAGTCTGTTCTTGCTGATGCTCCATATTTTTATGTATTATATCGTATCTTTGAGCTTACATAATAAAAAAACAATTCGGGAAAAAATCTATATGAACTAAATTATAACCTTTTTCTGAAACTAGGGTTGGATTACAAATAAACATCATTAATTCAACGTGGTTTGTGATTTGTAATGTAAGTATAAAAGGTAAGATGCTAAATTTTATATTGCGATTGCAACCATAATATTATTAACATTTTAAATTGTAAAAATATTCAGATTTTTCACATGTCTCAGATACTAGAATGATATTTTCTGCCGTGATAAAAGAAGGAGACTGTAACGCCCCGACCGCCCACGGCTAATGGGCCACCCACACCCGCTCTCTCGGCCCGTGGGCCCCATCCCGTTCCAACGGCCGGTCCGTATTTTTCCAAGGCTCTAGAGTCATGTTTGCTGACCCTGCAATCACCACATGACCTTTCTTCGTGTTTTGGCCTCACTTACACGGTATCGCAAATCACTTCCCGATAGGTTACCCATCCTTTGACTACTCCAGCTCAAGCACGCTTAACTCTGGAGTTCTCTCTGGATGTGTTTCCGAAAAGGTAAGTGCACTTTGGTGACATANACATAGGTAGTCAAATCAATTCTCTTAAGCCTTTCCGTATATCAGAATTCGGGATGTTACAATTCACCCCCTCTCAAAGAACGCAACGTCCTCGTTGCGCCCACGACAGGTCTCAAGACGCCTCTCAGGTCAGAACTGAGATGGCTAACCAGCTCTGATACCACTTGTAACGCCCCGACCGCCCACGGCTAATGGGCCACCCACACCCGCTCTCTCGGCCCGTGGGCCCATCCCGTTCCAACGGCCGGTCCGTTAATTTTCCAAGGCTCTAGAGTCATGTTTGCTGACCCTGCAATCACCACATGACCTTTCCCCGTGTTTTGGCCTCACTTACACGGTATCGCAAATCACTTCCCGATAGGTCACCCATCCTTTGACTACTCCAGCTCAAGCACGCTTAACTCTGGAGTTCTCTCTGGATGTGTTTCCGAAAAGGTAAGTGCACTTTGGTGACATAAGTAGTCAAATCAATTCTCTTAAGCCTTTCCGTATATCAGAATTCGGGATGTTACAGAGACATGCATGATCTATAGTATCGGATCATTCGTTTGTGAACATAGTTG